ATCGGCTCTTCATGTGGCATTTCTTTGTGTATTTTGCTAGGCGTTAATCTTGTGTCCGACACGTGAGCTGGCACAGCAGGTGCAAGAGGTCTGCAATACGTTCGGGTCGACATCAAGAATACGTAATACGTGCGTGTACGGCGGTGCACCTAAGGGTCCACAGATCAGAGACTTGGAAAGGGGTATGTAATGGCTCCAATTATCTCCGAGGCAAAGGTGCATTCAGATGCACCACCAACACTGTGAGAGAGGCATTGTTTGTATTTGGCGTACTTGACATTGGGTGTACATGTTGGCGTAACAGGATGTCGATATTGCAGTGGGGTTGCAGGGGTGGCTTTTGATGTAGTATGTAGTTCTTGTGGTATGTGCTTGTAATGTTACCGGGGCTTTCTCACCTCTGCAGGTGTTGAGGTTATAGTCGCGACACCTGGCCGGCTACTGGATTTCCTGGAGGCAGGCAAGACCAACTTGCGTCGCACAACCTATCTAGTCCTGGATGAGGCTGACCGAATGTTGGACATGGGTTTCGAACCGCAGATCAGAAAGATCATCGAACAGATTCGCGTGAGTCATATTCTTGCCTTTTACAACCCATGGCCACAATTAAGTAAATAATTATGTTGACGTTATTATGTAATCATTGTTGTGGTTACGTGTTGACGTAGTTATGTTATCGTGAGTGCAGAATGTTATTACTTTTGCACGTGATAGAAAAGTTGTGAAATTCTAGACATGGCAATCATAACTTTTGATTTTTTTGACCACAGACGTTTTAATTATACGTACAGCTATTTATTGTAGTTACGCAAAGGAAGGCCTTGCGTTTGTTCTGTATCTGCTGCGCGGTAGCCGACGTTTTGTGTTTTGTGAAGTATAGAATTCATAATTTTAAGTTGCCTCTGTGTTTCATCTCTTGACAGCCTGATCGGCAGACGTTAATGTGGAGTGCTACCTGGCCGAAGGAAGTGCGCACCTTGGCGGAAGACTTCCTGAAGGAGTATGTCCACATAACCATCGGCTCGCTGACGTTGTCCGCTAACCACAATATCATGCAGATTGTAGATGTGTGCGAGGACCACGAGAAGGATTCCAAGTGAGTCGCAGCTGTCAATCGATTAGTCGTCGTGTAACACAGTGTAACATGGTTGTGCTTATCCAGTTGAACTGGGATTTTCAGTGTACTGTTCAGTGGTTTTGTATGTTTAAGTATTAAGATCTCATGCTGTATCTCGCTATCTTTACAATAATGATAAAGCATGTGTAATTCAAGCCTGTCGGCCTCAATTTGTGACATAAGTAGGTATTAATGGTGTAGATCTCATAACCAACGTTTAGTAATGGGAATTGGAAACCGGTGCCGGAATTGTGATACTAAATTGCAGGTGTGAATGTCAAGCACATGGGTTGATGCTTGGAACTATTTGCCTGTAAATGAGAATGGGATAAATTCATGTAAATGAATGCTATGGCTGTGTACATGTAAATGACCTGTGAGTGAATGTTTGTATGAGATGTATGGCTGAACGTCTATGAATGAGACCAATAATTGAATGTCTGTATGAGAGTCGTGACCGAGTCAAGGACTGAGTCTCACGTGTTGTCATTTCACTTTGTACAGGTTACTTAAGCTGCTCGAAGAGATCATGGGCACCAAGGAGAACAAGACATTGGTGTTTGTGGAGACGAAGCGACGTGTTGACGAGTTGACCAGACAGATGAGGCGTGACGGGTAAGTGAAGCATTCATGGTACTACTGGTCTGTATTAAAGTAAAGTGCTATGTGTGCATTACCAAGGAAAGTGACATAATAGGAAGTAGTTCGTATCATCAGGATATGGTATAATTACCACCTGCCATCACCAAACAATTGAAACATATTTGCATAAGAATTTTGTCCGAGAAATTCTGCCTATAATGTTGTCTCAATAAATGTTTCCAATTCTGTTTGGTTAGAATGTAGGTATTGTCGTAGAACAGTGCTATGTAATTGCGTGAAGACTGAGAAAAGCTCTTCTACCCGTAAAGCTATGCTATGGAAGTACTTGCTTACGGATGTGTGATTGTTGTTTCAGGTGGCCTGCCATGTGCATTCACGGTGACAAGGCTCAGCAGGAGAGAGATTGGGTGTTGAATGGTAAGTCTCCATTTTTCAAACGTTTGCATGCAGATTGCACTCAGTGGTATGTTATCGATTCACATTTGTGTTGATTACTGTGGATGGTGTGTATTTGTACTGAGATGATTAACCTGTATCAGGGTTCGACACTAACGTTAGTCCGAGACTAGTAAAAATGAAGGAGGACTAGTAAAATGCCATAAGCCGTTAGTCCTGCCGGACTAGTTGTTTTTCCCCGTCCTTCACCCGTCCCAATTTACCATCTCTCCATCGCGATTTTACTATAGTCCGCGCGCGCGCGCGCCGCGCGGGCGCTTCTCTCAACCAAGATTCTAAAGAGCTATATATAATTCATTGCATCTCAACAAGTTTTTCCTGTTGAACGCCGCTAGTACATAGAGACGTAGCAGCGCTCTGCAATGCTAACCACTATGCAGGGCTTTCAGATTTGAAAAGTACATGAGCGACTACTAATGACCCTCCCTAAAACCATATAGGTCTTTTACGCTCCATAATCACGACCTTAAGAGCATGATGCGCAAGAGCTCCATTAAAAAATCACATCCTTAAGCGCATGATGAGAGCTCCACTAAAAATCACACCTTAAAGCCGTCTGCCCAGATGTTTATAAGCATACGACGAAGGGTCGTTATGAAAGACGTGCATTCTCATTGGCTACTGAAACAAGAGTTTGGCTAGATAATACTCAAGTCAGGCTCGCAGATCCCATTGCAACTCTATTGACAGGGAAAACTACCTTCAAGGCACGCGTGACGCCGGCGGCGCCTTTGATGTACCGATCGATCGGATCGCGTACGCTATAATATATTACGGCCTGCGTAGCACGCGCGCGTCATACACAACGACACCACTTGAGCGTCAAATAAACGCACACCTGGCCAAGTCTGACAATCTCAATACAGAAACTTAACTGCCGTGTCTATATGTAAAGCAAACTTATATACAATGGTATTCACATGAAGTTTACTGTATAGAGGCTGTTGACTGTAAAAATGAAAATTTGTACATTCTAAACCCCCTACAATTTCTCTCAAACGGATTTTAGGACGTGTTTCACAAAATCGACCCTGCGGAACTGGAATCCGCCGATTTCCGCCGGAATCCCGGTAAGATTCTACATCCCTGTAAAATGGACCTATTTCAACATCAGCGTCGACACTAACGTGTCCGATTTGCCCGGGACAAGCTGAAAGTCTATGTCGGACAAGTTATTCTCCTTGCCTATGTGCCCGAATTCGACAAACTGAAAAGTTCTAGTTGTTTAATCTTCCTAACATCCTCGACCAGGCGCGCTATCGCACACATTCTCACTTCAACGTTTAAAAGGTCCTTGAAAAAGCAGCGCTGCGAACCCACTGGTTATTCACATACAGAAATTATTCAGAGCGGCGCAATGCATACCTCCTGGCCGGGGCGGCATTGCATGATTGTATGTACTGCGGCTGGTGGTTACGATTGGTTTATAAGTTGTTGGGGCATATTCAGTTACTGAATATGTACGGTTCGGCCATCGCGGGGCATGAGAGGGCCGACAGCAAAACGAACTCCCTGTGATTGAGGAAAAACCTTGCAATTGTAATCGACACCACAATGAGCGCGTGCACATGCAAACATAAAATTGGAATTTCATACGATTTTACATGTACTGTATTTACTCGTGTATACAGTAAATTCATGTATATTATATAGTCTCATCCCCATATTCTGCATTGGAAGAGTTGGTACAAACTATTGTACAGTTAACAAATTTCTTACCTCGTCTATAAAGTGCGTCCCCTGAGTTTTTTTTATTGAAGTTGTGTACAAAAAGCGCGTTCATAACAAGTAATTACGGTATATATACCTGTAAGTGTAAATACGCACGGCACCTGTCAGACACATCCTAGGTACTGTGCGCACCTATATGCCACGCAGGATCTGGCCAAAACAATATCAAGGAGTGTATATATATATATACTAGCTATTACGTCCTCTCAACGGTTTTGAGTGGGGTAGTGATTGGAGCGTTTAACCATTATCTCTCCTTTTTTTTTTTTTTTTTTTTTTTAGTTGAGGATGTAATTTGTACAGTAAATACTATATGTAGCTGAGTCACATATCAATATTGTTTAAAGAGTAGTATCTAAAATATATATATAAATCTGAAATTTTTCCTTAAAATTAGCATACAATTTTTCAAATAAAGGAAAGGGTAATTTCATAGTACACCATTTCACTTATTGTAGAATTATTTTTGAAAATATCATTCTGTACGAAGCATTATTAATAAGTTCAAAGTTCCGTGTCAATATCTTGCCACACACGCCCGGCACGCGCACCACACAGCATTCGACCAGCATCAGCACCAGGGGTATGGTCGGCAGTGCACAATCACACGCGCACGCCACAGCACGACACATACGCAATTTTCAGCTACACACATACACCTCACATGCAACACGCACACACACGCATACATACATACACACACGCACAGCACACACACGCATACATACATACACCGCACACGCACACGCAGCACGCACATGCAACACACCTCACCACGCACACACCGCACACACCGCACAACACATACACAACACATACAACTCGCAGCGTATCTCGTTTGGGTTGTCTTAAATGTTTGTCTCACAACCTGGCGCGGCAGTGATTGGCCTTGTTATGCACCAGCCGTCAATGTCTTTGGTGTGTGCGTTGTGCGCGGTCGCCGCGTGTGCGTGCGTGCGTTCGTGCGTGCGTCGGCGGGCGTTTGCGTGTGCTTGCTATGCTAGGGAAGGGTCCACCTAATAAATGCTTATTATTATACCTTTTAATCTACATTTAAGTATAGCTACAGTATCATTAAAACCCGCTGAGAAGAAAGCACGTTGAATTAGTTTAACAACAATTTAAAGGTTATATGGTATATATATTGTGGGTATGTGTTGTGCTCTCTAAACATATCGAAACGTCCTAAAAATGTCAGCCGCCACCCATACCACATTTATCATGACACACCGGGCCGCACACACATCACAAACACACACGGCACACGCGACGACATACACACACCACACACACACACACACACAGCACACACACATACACACACACACGCACTACACGCACAAACACGCACACGACACACACACACACACACACACACACTACACACAGCACTCACACACACACACACATGCACACATCATACATACATACATACATACATACTATGCTAGCGTTGTACCACACACGCCACGACAACACGCACACACACACGCACACACACACACACATGCACACACATACACACAGCACACACCACACACACCACTACACACACACACATCACACACTCACACAACACACACACAGCACACATATCGATACATACATACATTGTACATTGTACACACGCGCGCACACACCGTGGCACGTTGCGTAGCAGGTGAATTGCCTATGCTGTGATTGGACGCGCATGGCGAGTTGGCGATCTTAAATAAAGCACACAATCGACGCCGTATTAAGCCCGCCGGCTCGCGAGTGCTATTACACCGTCTCAGACAGACGGTTGCTAGTGGTCTGATTTTGAGGATGGCGGTTTATACCATTTATCTCTCTACTTTTAGTTGGAGATTATTTACAGTAAACTGAATAATACTTACATATTAACACTCTGCAGTCATATATCAATAGATTTGTTTTATAAAAAGTTGTCTAATATATCATATAAATCTGAAAATTTTACCTTAAAATGAGTAATTTTTCAAAAAAAGGGAAATTGAGGTGATTTTCATAGTAAATTTGACTTATTTACATATTATTTTTGTGAAGAATGATTATTCTGGTTCAGAAGCAGAATGATAAGTTGAAATCTGAAAAAAAATGTATTGAGTAGTTTGGAAGATATATTTTCTTGAAAGTCAGTGGACGGCGCGGCACGGGTATAACCTCCCGTTGTCAAATATTTGCACACACGCGCGCACAACACACCATCACACACACCGGCGCGCGCCGCACGCACACACCGCATTCACACACATACGGGCATACGCACGCACAATCACACGCGCACCCACGCACACACATACCACATTTACACACACACGGGCGTGCAGACACATATACGCACACGCACGCGCACGCACACGCACACGCACACGCACACACACACACACACACACACACACACACACACACACATACATACACATACACACACATACAACTGCAGCCGTCTCTCGTTGGGGTTTCGCCTCACAGCTGTGCGCGGCAGTGATTGGCTGTTTATATACACCGCAGCCGCAATGGCTTTGGTGTGTGCGTGTGTGCGCGTGCCGGTGGGCGTGCGTGCGTGCCGTACGTGCGTTAGTGTGGCTTGCTATGCTAGGTGACGGCCCACCTAATAAATGCTATTATTATACCTTTAATCTACATTTAGTATAGCTATTTATCATTAAAACCCGTGAGAAAACAGCATTAATATTTTAACACAATTTCAAAATATTTATGGCATGTATAGTGTGGGTATGTGTGTGCTCTTAGACAACTCGAAACGGCGTCTAAAAATGTAGAGCATTGGGAGCCGGGTAAGCGCGGCAGCGTTACACACTCTCCGTTGTCAAATGTTTGCACACACGCCGCGCACGCACGGCACACACCTCATTCACCACACATACGGCATGCGCGACGCACAATCACACGCGCACCCATACACATTTACACACACACGGGCGCGCACACACACACACACGCACACGCACACGCACACATACATACACACACACACACACACACACACACACACACACACCGCACACACACACGCACACACACACAACACACACACACACACTACACACACGTCACAACACACACACACACACACACACATACATACATACATACATGTACAGTTGTAGCACACACGCCACACACACGCCACACACACACGCGCACACACACACACACACACACAGCACACACACACACACACACTCTCACACACACACACACACACACACAACACACACAGCACACACACAGCACACACACCACACACCACACACACACATACATACATACATAACAGTACAGTTGTTACACACCGACGCACACACCAGTGCACGTTGCGGTAGCAGGTGATTCACATGCCTGTGATTGGACTGCGCATGCGGACTTGGCGATCTTAAAATTTGGTGCGGGTTTGCGATGAGCAGACGTCAATTCACTCTGCTTGGACTGCATTGCATGCGGATTTTGCGCGATCTAAAAGTTGGTGCGGGTTCGCCGATGAATGCCGAAGTTTCTTCGGCGCACATAACTTTTTAGGGAAACTTGCCTGAAAAAAGTCACTTTAACGTCGAAAAATCGCGTTCTAACGTAGCGGAATGTATTAGGGACGCTCCAGAAGGGGCGCCCAGCTCGATTCGCGCGAGCACACGCGGCACGGTTTCGGAGGAGATACGTAAAACGACACTTCGGCTCCTTCCACTATTATATAGTAGATGTCTACATCTCATCTATATATGTTATATATGTATATATATCTATATATATCATCTATTTTATCTTATAATTATAGTCTCTTAATGATTATACACTCCTGATAATATGATATGCACTGAACCAAAAGAGGACATTAACGCCTCATAGATTGCACAAGTAAATTTTGGACAAGTAAAATCAAAATTCGGACAAGTAAAAATTGCTTCTTGTTGCCCGACAGGACAACCAGATCTGAAAATAAGCGTCGAGGCCTGAACATAATACACAGACTTTTGGTGCGCGATTTCAACTACTTTTATGAGGCGCGATGATGCGCGCACCATGGCACAATTTATGGTGCGCGGTGGAGCGCGAGCGCGATCGCGCCCCTTAAAAATGAAAGCCTGCCTATGACAGTACAAACATTGTTAAACAAAGGGGCCACGAACCAGTCTACCGATCGATCGCTTGACAGTAGCTGTTGACATAGAACAAATGGTCTGATCGTATAAATGACACAACTAATGTGTTATACGCTCTCATAGCGAGGTATTTACATCGCAACCACATCGCATGCGTGTTTTACTTGAAGCAGTCGATACAAATAGTTATCTATAGTAGTGATACAAGAGGTCATCCTTATCCAATACTAACATCAAGGTTGTTATGTGGAAGTATTTGGACGGAGCTCGTCCTCCACCTCCCAAACGTAAGTCACAGGAGGAGAAATTAGATGGCTAGCATATATATGATATAAGGATGCGTGCGTTCCAGCCAGCGTGGAAATCGTCATACCCGTGGCTAGAGTATGAACCGGCCAAGGGTATGCATGACCTGTGGTGCAGGCTGTATGTCTGGTAGTTTTTCACCGGCACTACAACCTATCGTTTGGAAACTGTTAAAGCGCATGATGCTTCTGAGGGGCACATAAAGATCATAGCAAAAAGAAATGCAAGGACCATGCCTGTTCACGAAACAGTGGGGGCAAAAACACTAACTTTAATGAACAAGGCCATAATAGCAAAACTGAATATCCTAATTAGAAATGCACATGCTATTGGAAAAAAAACAGCAGACCCTACACTGATTATGTCAAGCTGTGCCAGCTTGACAAGGCCAAGGGGTTGGATGTCGGCAGCACTTACCTCACCGACAAGGCCTGCCAGAGGTTCATTACGGCGATAGCCGATACAAGGCGCTGGGAACAACATTTGTTTTCTTATGATCCATATATCAAAGTTACGTATATTTTATACAATTGAATGTCTTTTACAAAACCTTTCTGGGGGAGACCCCTTGTACCCGGGGGAAGACCGCCTGTACCCCTAGCAGAAGGGGAGCTTCACCCTCCTACCCTCCGGCAAATCACAATGCTCATCACTTTGTGCCTAGTAAGAGTCCTTCGGCAGGACTAGTAGAATCTTGGAAGGACTAGAACATTTTTTCTTTTACTAGTCCTGTGGACTATTGAACTAAAATGGTTAGTGTCTAACCCTGTGTATTCTGTTGACTTGTTTCTATATGAAGTGAGAGAGCATTATCCATGAATAATATGACATCGTCACAAACCACACCACATCGTTTACCTTTCAGAGTTCCGAATGGGTCGCGCACCAATCCTGGTGGCTACAGACGTTGCTGCTCGTGGCTTAGGTTTGTACAGTGCGGCTTTTCTGGCATCGCGCCAGGCAGCTGTGGTTTTATTGCATCGAAACCTGCCGATCATGCGACGCGCCTCTTCAGTGGGATGCTTGCTTACAAGCTTCTGCATGGTCACCTGAGGCTCCAGTGATTAATAACTGACTAATTACTGTTAGTGCGGCATCGTAGAGATGGGCAGTGACTAGCACTAAGGAAGACGTGCAGTCGCGATTCCGTGTGGCTTTCGAATGCAATTCGTTGTCGATTCTGTGTATATTTTGCTAGAGGGTGGGGGGAGGGAAGTCAGGGGGAATGGGGTTTGGGTTGCGAGTGGGGCGATGGGGGATTGAAAGGGCACCCGGTAGAGGCCAACAGACGAGTGTGCACCCACGCAGGGCTTGTTGCACTGCCAGGGGCGTGATCTGTGAGCATGAGACTAATTCTCCACTCATACTTTTCGAGTATTTTGTAGAGTGAATCTGCGGCGGGCCCCAGGCATGACCAAGGAAAGGCAGAGAGGGATGCGAGATGTCACGCATTCACTGCGGCTCGGCTGCTATCGTGTAATCCTTCCGGGAGGAAGTGCGGACACCTCCAGATGGTTCCGTGTGCACCTCCACCAAAGCCCCCCCTCCTTCCCAAATAAGGTCCACTTTGGCAGTAACTATAAGCTAGAATGCGTGAGTCGGAAATATTTACCCTTTGAGTGCCAGGAGCCTAGTTATCAAATGCATAGTAATTGGCAGTGACTCTCCTCGCTTTTCCCTCCCGAATGTAGCGCAGCAGTCTAATTTCTGGGCGGAACTTCAAATTTCTGTATCCCTGGTAGCTGTTGCCTACGTCACCATGCTGAGTATTAGGTTAGGGGCAAGGCTACGCTGCGACCGTGCAGCTCCTGGCGTCAGTGGAGTCGTGCGCGGGCGCAGCTGGGCGAGGCCTAGTCGCCGCTTTCAATGCAGTTTGCTCTCTTTTTGCAGGAGCCCCATGCGAAACGCGGGGGCATTGCAGTTGGTGGAACTAGTCGCGCTGGCGCACGCGCACGTCATCAGCAGAGCTGTACAGGTCCGCTCTCAGAGCGCCGGTGTGCTCGCGCTACGGCCGCGTGCGGCGTGTTCTCTAACGGATGCGACACGTACAGGCTACTGCTGATGGGATGTGATGTGATGACAGAACGCTTTGCTGCTTTGAGGTTCCATCAACTCGTGCTTCTCCGAGACCTAGGTTGTCTGTAGTTGCCCGTGCAGTGGTGGGGGAGCAATCTGCCTGATTGCAGCTAAGAGTAGCAAGCGCTCACATAAGAACCCATTTTGTTTCTTCCTTTTAAAAATTTTCAAGCCAAAGTTTTTAATGCACAAAAATTTTTTAGTTTTTCATCTTTTTATTAAATATTCTATGTCAGGTCTGATTTATATTTGATAAGTTCAGAGCTAATAAGCTTGATAGGCAGTGTTCGGTTTAGCGATGACCGGCTTGCTATCCCGATTCTCCAATTCGCGACTGAAGGCATTTGAGATTCAAAGGGTTTAGATATATTGCAAATGAACTGGCGCATTAGGTAGAGCAGCAAGTATCCTGTGTTGTATGGAAATTGCACAGGTCCCCCATTGGGCACAAACTGGTAGTGTGTACGATGCCCCACCCTCGTGCGGAATGCCGTGCGGTCGCAATATAGTGTGTGAATTGATCGTCGCCCTCTCAACGCCATGTCATGTCCGGATGCTCGTCCTTCACTCGTCGTCGTGGAAACCATCGATGCGGCAACAGGTTGTTGGGGGTCGGAAACGGCAGTTGCTGCCATTCGGAACTTATTGCGTCTGTCGTGACGGCTGGCCCGCGAATCATGTCTGCGCACGCAGCAGCAGAAGATGTTGCTATGTGCGCTGCTAGCAGCAGCACGGTTTCAATGCCAACTGTAATGTGCATACCTCCGTGTGACTTTTCGAAGTCATGTCGTTTGATCCTGCCAAAAACATACACACATATATATATATATATCGGCAAGCAGACAACAACCATCTGTCAGAGGGCGGCATCCAAGCGAATATGCTTGTGTGTGTGTGCGTGCAAGTGTCCAGGAACTTTACAGTGACTGGCTGTGTGCGCACGACCAGCCTCCTGAGCTAACAGACTTGTATAGCCGATTAGCCATCGGCCGCTCCAGGACCTAGTTCTACGGAGAAAGAGTCTGAGCAGATGGGGCTGTTTAGCCGCTAGCATGAATAAAGCTGTCTGGGAGGCCCGCGTTAGTTGTCGTCAATCTGGGGCGTCACTGCTGCGGGCCCCGCTTTGGTAATTATAAAATAAAGGATCAAACCCGGAGAGAGATGTGCATTGCAGCCGCGGTCGAATTATTTGCACTTGAAACCAGGTAAGCACTGCAGTGAGATGCCAGAAACAAAAAACATAACAGTAGTGTTAAAATGCTAGGCAAGGGGTTGTGCTAGTTTGTTTTACATTGAACTAATTTGAAGTGTTCCGTCTTCCTTACAGCTTTCCATGTTTTGGGGTTTCGGGGAGGGATCTGTGTCAGTGTGGCAAGAGTGGTAACTGATTTTTTTCTCTGCCCGAAAATAATTTAACTTGGCTTTTTACGGTATTCCCAACGGCCCGTCCGTGTGGAGACCAGAGGCCCGTTGTCAGAGACATAAATAGTTGTGACTATCGTAAGGGTAAGATGGCATAACCTTTGCACACCAGCAATTTATGTGCAAAAAGTTTGAGCCGCCTATACTCGTGATGTCACAACTAGCGCTGTTTCTGACAACGCGTCCGAGACGAAAAGTAGCGCGCGAGAGTGTTCGTCGACACTCGTCACTGACACGGCAAACTTTCGCCCAATTGCAGATGTGGAGGACGTTAAGTTTGTTATCAATTTCGACTATCCGAACTCGTCTGAGGACTACGTGCACCGCATCGGCCGCACGGGCCGCTGCAACAACACGGGCACCGCGTACACGTTCTTCACGATGTCGAACATGCGGCAGGCGAAGGATCTCGTTGCTGTCCTCAACGAGGCCAAGCAGGTCGTCAATCCAAAGCTGTATCAGCTCGTCGAGATGGGCAAATCCCTCGGCGGCAGAAGTGAGTGGAGTGTGTCTCACGTCCATCCATCCGTCGCCCCTTTTCCTCGTCCTCCGTCTTCCATGTCCGTTCGTTGCCTTTTTTTTCTGTGACGAAGATGCCGAGGTAGCTACAGCGCTTGCTCGTCGGTCGTGTCTGTCCGTTCTAATCGGGTTCCACTGTCTCTCACTTTTTGTGTCTGTTGTTTGACGGTGGTAGCGAACCATGCTTGCGTCTGTGCCCTATTGGTGTTTCTTATCTTAGTTGACTGGGCGACCCGTCATAAACGGGAAAAGGTTTGACGTGCCTGCCGAGATGTTTGTTTTTGAAATCCTGGATCTTGGCTGAAATTCATATCATTTTTAGAAATGGTCCGAGATCTTATAAAAACGATCAGTAGGAAGGAGTAGTTTGGAACGCTGCAGCAGCATTTTGTGTGACCTCGTGTCAGTAGTTTTGACAGCACTGGGTTGTTGTTTTTTATTATCGCTGCTCTGTAAAGCCTGCTGCTTGATGTTCGCTTTTCTTTGCTCGCAGGTCGAAATCGCTACAGTCGTGGAGGAGGTCGTAGCTCCGGGTCATCATACAGTGGACGTAGCTTCGGGGGCGGAGGATACGGCAGCAGTCGAGGAGGAGGTAGAGACATAGACTTACATAGAAGTAGTTATGCAGCTAGCGATAGAAGCTATGATAGGGGGCATAGTAGCAGCAAGACGTATTCCGGAGCTTATGTCGAAAAGGGAAGCAGAGATGGGCACAAGTCGTTGCTTGCGGGTAGTAGTAGCAGTAGTGCTTACCAATCCTCGTCTCCGCAGTCGCTACTGAGTGCAGCCATTGGCCAGGGTAATAGTAACAAAGTGGGAAATATGTACGGTGGAAGCTTTGGCAGTGGCGTGAGGCCTGCCAGCACATTGACACCAAAGAGTTTGGCGCCCCCTCCCCCACCACCACCCCCACACAGGAGCGTAGCCTCTACCGTGGAAGCTGTGTCCATGTACCAGCAGATGGCAAAGCAGTACGCACAATCAAATGGCTACAAAGTATCGTCGGATAAGAAGTAGATGATTGCGTTTTGCAGTCGGCAGTTGGAATTGCGTGTTGTTGTAGAATGCTGTGTAACTTGGCATAGTGTATATTCATTATCCAGTACGTCATTGGTGTCGGGGACAGTGTGGCCAAGTTTAATGCGTGAAAGCGTACATTTATCTATCGTAGATGTTCTACACTATTACCCTGGTTATTTACGCAAGCTTGTACATTAATGTAAACTAGGTAGGATAGCCCTATATGTTAAAGGCATAATAGGCCCATTCATTATACAAAGTTGACGAGTGCTACAGTAACTGGCACCTTCTGTAGTTAATAAGTACATTACCTTATAGTCAAACGCGTATTAGTTTGTCCAATATCACTGCTAATTACTAAGAAATGTCTAATGGAAATCCGTAAATCTGGTAATCTGGTGCCAACGCTAAATTGGTTGCCAAGCAAAATAGCCTCGAATTCGGTTAGGCAACGTCACATGTTGCTACGTGTGTTTAGCAGAGAATTGTTTGTCCCGGAATGCTTATATATGACTAATGAGCTAGTAGAATGTATCTCTGGGTGTATTCTCGGTAGTGAGGCACAAGTAAATAATCATGGGTGCTAATGAACGGGTACCCACATGTCTTCAATTTCAGACACAGGTGTATTCGTTTGACCAATATACGTAAATACGCGTAGTGCCGTCTGCTTTCCATGTTTAGTCTGTGGCCGTGGTTAGTCCGCAATCCTCCCATAGCGTTGGCCCCCAACACGGCCTACTTCATTATCACGAGCGTCCGTGATTCGTACGTGGATTCCACGTTCATTACAATCAGAGCTACTGTTACGGTACTGTACTATCGCTAGCATTGCGTACGGCCGAGCGAAAATGCATGCGTGCGTGCGTTTTTGCATGCGTG